ACTTAATTTACTATAACAGATGTATAAAATCCAGATGGTTCTTCTATATCAAGTACTTAGATTATTTACTCCTCAGTTACAAAGATTATCAAAATTAAAATTTTGCCTTCTGATTATGCTAACTATGTAGGATCACTTTATTTAAGAGTTGTCGCGAATTTCAAGGATGTCACAGTGTACCCTCAGCTGAGGATAACTATCAAACCTTTGACTTAATTCATAAGAGATCCAGCTAATCCTAATCATACTGATAGCACTTGTAGGGATAAGATATATCCCTTTTTTTATGGATTCTCAGCTGATATAGATGTTTAGGATTTCAAAATGGATAGCTTAGGAAACATAATGATTGCAGGTAATGGTATTAAATCCCCCTTTGGCTCAGGGGGAACTATTGTAAATGGATTCTTAAGTGTTATGGACTAAAGAGGAAATCCTTATTGGATATATAAATTAGATACCTAATTAGACACAAATACTGCCTAATATTGTTATTAAATAACTCAGCAATAATCATTTGTTTATGGTCTCTGTTAGTCAAAGGTTAATATGTACATCAACATTGGATTACTGGGAATATTGATAAAATTATAAAGAAATAGTGGCTAATTAGTTTACTCTAGACTTCTTCCTAATGATAGATAATAGCCACAAAATTAGCTTCCTTTATTTTTAACATCTATTGGCAACGAAAAATTACTTATTATATAAAGATACTAATCATCATCAGGATCATAGAAATCTTTTTCAGGCTTCCTTTTAAATGAAACCTCTTAACTACCAGATTGGTATTATTACTATCCTACAGATACGGTATTTTATGACATGAATTTTCTTGTTGATCAGACAAACGGATACTTTTATTAGTTTAAGCATGCCTTAGCAAATAAAGAGCAGGTTACTCAGATAAGATTGTCAGACGGAGCAATGTTAATAAAATCTGTGTTGAACACTGCCTAAAGTGATGAAATTACATTTCCCTCATTTTATGGTTCCGATAAAATTATAGCTCCCTTTGTTTATAGAGTTTCAATGGATCAGATTCATTTATTTATATTAAAGAGATCGGATTTAACCAGAGTCACTAATTTCTTTTTCTCATTTCCATCAGCATCAACCATTTATACAGCCTCTGTGAGTTCAGACTCTAGTTTGAATATATATGTGACAGCAAGTTATGACCAAATGTTTTTTGCTAAGATCTCCCCATCATATGTAGTAACTGAGTATAGAATGTGGAAATAAGAATATACAAGCTATTACAGGTCATTTGGGATTTAAATGTATTAAGATATACCTTTCTATATATTTAAGGGAGTTTACGCATCAGGAACCAAAGACTCTGTTTTAATTTTCAAAGATACCAAGACATTCAATTATATTGAAATCCCTATCATTACATCAACAGACACCTAATTTTATCCAACAATATCAACAACAGTTATTAATCCAGTTATAACTGCGCTTTCGGGAATTTAATAGGCAGGTTCGCTTTAAACAGCGAATTTAGCTTTTTTACCAGATATTGGAGGCATAAAATTAAATACTCTAAGTTTTAGCGACTAAGCTAGTGAGAGGCAAAACTGGGGAAGTGCCTCAGTCCCAAATAGATACAAATCTTATCCATTTAATGATTACAAGTCTTTAATGATAGATATCAAAAGTAATGATTTCACAGATCCAACTCTTTATGAGTTTCAAAAAGGTTCTGGCACAAAATAAATAAAGCTTACTATTCCTACAGAAAATTGTTAAGGCAAAGTTACTTAGTTGAGTGTTCTTAACCCCATAACTGATACAACAGCTTTTACTTAAGCCTATGTGACCTTTAATAACATTGATACAATATCAATCAATACAGATTTAGTGCCAAGGCCACTTTAATTTTCACTAAAGATTAGATATGCTGATGAAGCTTGGGCAACTTCAGAGGCTTACTTTGATTACTCAATTTTAATAAGAATAACTGCTGTTACAAATCTTACAATCAACTAGCATGATAAATATGAATGCTTTTAAAATACATTTCCAATGTCATTTGGTTCTTAATGTGGATCTTGCTAGGTAAATTAAATGGGCTTATACCTCAATAATGATGATGAAAATATTTTGATGGTTGGCTAAGCAGCAGCAAATAATGCTTTTATAATCAATGAGGATAAAGATGAAGGGTTTGTCATGAGGATATCTCCAGTTGGATGGATTTACTGGCTTACTCAGGTGTCTGCCGGATAAAATGTCGAGGATGCTATATCTGCTATTACAATGTCTTATGGTTTCATCTACTGCTTCTTTTATAATTCTGGAAGCACTGAAGCAAATAGAATTAATGCAATTATAAAAATGAGCTATGAGGAAGGTAAAATTCAATGGACTAAAAAGATTATGCCTTCAAATCCAATTGACAATAAAAAGTTTTCTGTATATCTAATGAGGTAGCTAGCAGCTAATAAGTATAATTAAACTTAGATAATGTCTTCACTAACTTACTAATGGAATTCTGACTCATTTTATGTAGGCAATATAATGTTCATAAATAAGTAAACAGATTTGAGCACGGATTTCAATTTAGTTATTAAACCTCTAGCTAAATTAACAAATTCTAAAAATTCAGCTGGGTATATTGTTTTCCAGCCTAATTCAAACTATGTTTATTTAGCTCATGCTGCATACACCACAACTTCTAGTTCTTAGGATCTAATGGTAATGAAGTTAGATGCTTCATTAGGATAAATCCTTTGGACTAACACCTTCAATGATAATAGATAACTACCAGATTGGGATGTCCTTACACCAGCACTAGCCTTTAGCAATTACAATAAGTTCATTTACATGGCAGCAGCTCCTAATCAAGTTCATATTGTCAAACTCAATGAAAATGGCCAAGCATTAAAAAGACAGTACTTGCAGATTTATGGAGCAAGTTTGTAAAATATTGAATTGGTGATAAATGAAGAGAATGGAAACGTTATATTTGTAGGCTAGAGTTTATTATATGCTCTTTATGCTAATTTTGACAGTGACTTGCTATTTCTTGATCATACCTATAGAGCTGCACCGCATACTGGAGCTAAATAGACACAAGGAGTAATCCATTAAAGAGGCAGTGATTATTATATTTATGGCGTAAATTAGTACTTATTTGGAACTAACACACCTTCATTGGAGCCTATATTGTGGAAGCATAGCTACCATTACTAAAAAAAGCGAATATATGATTGCCATGATTTCGAAGTATTAAATTATTATAGTGTATTAGACAACTATGCTAACACCAATACTGCAATTCCAACAGGAGCTTTAATAATTAATACACAGTAACTTATACTATTGGATACTGCTTAAATTAGATCTTATTAACTATAAGAGTATGGGCCTGCTTACTTCTATCCAAATAGTGATAGCTAACATGCTGAATATTTTTATGATACAAACTAAAAATGTGAAAATACTGGTATATCACCTCCCTCTATGGCAGCTTTTCCAGCTTTTGAAGTTACAATGGGATAGCTTAAAACTTTTGATATTTCCAATCTTGGAATAACCTAATGCCAGAGACTGAAGGTGACCTATACAATTCTTGACGAAGCTTCTTCTTCAACAAGAACAGTGAATAATAACTTCATAACAATAAATTAAAATAGCTAATTGATCATTGATGCTCGTAATAATCCTCCTTACCCTAGTCAAAGAATCCTTTAAATTTAGGCTTGCGTTTAGTTATTTGCTGATAAATGCTAGAAAGTATAAGCAACTCTGGTAATATGGCCAATAGGTATGAGTGATGCACCCAAAGTTGAAGCTACTAGTGAATGTGCTGGATTACTAGAATACCCTAAGATAATTGGTTATCCAAATTACTTTTTTGCCTTATATCACGCTGACATGGATGAAGATAACGGCAACTTTGTTGCATGCGGAAAATCTAATATAGCCAAGTACAAGAACATACAATATCCAAGCACAGGTGATGGAGGTCTTATTTTATTTTCAAGCATGCTTGGCTAAATCTTTTGGGCTTACAATGTCTAAAGACAAGTAGCAGGTTAAATTTGCGCTTTTACATGCTGTGAGATAAGTAATGATGATTCAATATATGCAATACTATATAGATAAACACCTTCTGATGCTGCTCTTATAAAGTTGAGTTACGAGAGAGGAATGATAATCTATTCAAAATTAATTTTTAAAACTTTTGCGACTGGTTAAGTTTTGCCTAAAATTTGGATTGATAATTCAGGTAAATATGGTTACGTTGCTGGGCAGAGGTCGGATATAACAAGCTTTTCGCACTATATAACTAGGTTGAATTTAACAAGAGATCCCCCTATGGCATAATGGTACTCTTATACAAATCCAACAGGAACAGCAATTTATAGTAGTATAAATAGCGTAGCAATTGATCCCCTAAATGGAGATTATTTATTTACTTACGGTATAATGTATGTCATGCCCTAGAGTGCTTACTTCCCTTTCATATAAAAATATGATGCTAAAGAAGGCAAAGTTAGTGCAACTATAAGCCATCAGTATTCTATAAATATTCAAAATTTTAAGATTGCTGTCTCCAATGATTACTTATATTTTTCTTCAGCAGAATATAGATCAAATGTATATTACAAATATATAAGACAATACAATCACAATCTACAAGTTATAAATGGTTATTATTTTACATTATCAACTACTAACCAGGTTTTATGGTCAGCTCTCTCCTTAAATGATGATTATGTCTTTGAATTGTTTAACTATGGCCAGGACTACTCATATATTGCTAAATATGATAAAACTAACATTTAACTTATCAGAATAGTAGTGTAATTTATCTTGTTTTTCTTTATCTCAATTATAGATTTTATCAAACCAATTAGCTGATGTCATATTTCTATATATAATCCTATTCTGACAATCTCTACCTATTTATGTCTGCAGGATATTTCTGTAAAATTTTGACACTCAGGTTAATCATTTATTTAGTGTCAAGTATCCCTAATTAAGAAATGGTTTTTGAAAAGCTCAGTATTGATTTAGAATCGCCTAACTCTTGCCTTGGATATACTGATATTGTTGTAACTCAAGTATAAGATTTAACATCACTAGACTACTCTTCAAAGGTTACACAAAATACAGTATTTTTATATAATGCTAATAATTCTTAGATATATTACCAGTCGAAATTGTAACCAGGATTTGAAGATTACTGGGAACTCCTACAATAACCAGATAAAATATTCTATGAGCCAAAGGTGTATAAATGTAGAGGAGACTCACCAAGATTCTTATCAAACCTTAAGAATCAAGTAGTCCAGTTACCAATATCCTCACCTCAAACTTATACCTTTGATTTCCCTTCAGATTGCTTTAATAATGATCTATAATTTACTTGGTCAGTTGATTTTTATACAACTCCTCCCTCATTTATGACATTTAGTACTAATAACAAAAAAGCAACCTTATCGATGAATCCGACAATTTTAAATATTGGGACTTATAATGTTAAAGTCATCTTCACTAACTTAAAAGATTCTTTGGTTTTTTCTCAAGATTATTTCTAAGTTGAAGTATATCCAGAGACATCCTATACTGATGTAGTAAAGTGCTTAGATTGTCCATCAAGACCAATGGCTATGGCTTTTGGAGTATAAGCTGATTTTGTAATTTATTATATGGATATTGATTTGAATGCTGATTATTTTATACTTTGCGGAAGTACAAAAACTCTTCAAACAATAGCTGATTTATATACTTAATCATTTATTCTTTAATATACAAAAGGTTATGCAATGACTTTTCATATTACAATAGAGGCAGGTTTAGTAAATAATTTTGCTTAGCAATGTAATTATGGCTATTAAAATAATATATTAACAATGATTTAATCGTTTTCATAATCGATAAGCGCTGTTGATTCTGTTTATATTACTACTCATTCTAGTTCAGGTAAATTTATTGATGGAAGGGTTCTTAAAACTTCAGATTAAAATTTAAGAGCTGATTAAATGATAATAGATGTCTAGCAAGGAGATACTTATATTATGGGTAAATAAACAGATACTTTAATAGCATTTAATGATATAAAGCATGTATTTCTGTTAAAATTTGATAGATTTTATGAAATATAATTTTTTAGATTCTATGAAAATGGTCCTAGTGAAGGTAGAGAAATTATTTTAGACTAATCTAATGCTGCAATTTTTATGATTCATACCTATCTTTATTCAGCATTTAGTAAAAGTTATTATGCTGTTGTAAAAGCTGATTATATGGATGGAGATATTGTTTGGGCTTAAACTCTCAGAGATAACAGCGGTTAAATATATTAATAAATTTCAACACCCAATTAATAATTAGGAGTCAGATCAGTAAATAATTAGCTTTATACATGCCTTCATTACCAAACTAGTGGAATGACTACAAGTGGTACTGAATTGTACTTATCTAGACATGATCTAGCCACAGGATTAGTTTCATCAAGATTAGAATTAGGTTTTACTGTTGGTAATGATGTATTTGGATGTAATCTATAATATTCAACATCATCCTCATAATTACTAATGCAATATGGTGGAACAGGAGCAACATACATTGCTTTTTTAAAGATAGATGTAACACCAATGACTATAAAATCTTCATTGCTAAAATTTAATCTTGCATTAACAACCAATAACAAGCAATTTATGATTGAGAAAAACTCAGTAATGTTCGCAATAAATTCATACGTCTAGAGTAGTATCTAATACATAATGGTTTTTAGAGTTAATGATTTTACAACTCCTGCCTGGGAAAGTCCTTGCTCAAGTGGATCAATTTAAACTGTTGATTCTAGTGTTTATTCTGGATTTAACTTACCTAATGGCATCAATGGTGATTAAAGTGTTAACTGGAAAAATTTGAATCCATATACTAGTAGGCTAGCTAAAATTTCTTTTATAGCTAATTTCTTCACATAATTAGTGCAATTTAGAGCTTACCCTGTGACTAATACCAGTGCTGACGTTAGAACTAACCCAGGCTCATGTTCAAAATATTCAAATCCTTCCTTCCCTTAAATTCAAAATAGAGTTGGTGGTTACATAAATTCTACAGCAGGCTCTATTCCTGTTAGTAGAATCAGTTACTCTATAATATTTGAACCATTTCTATAATGCTCAAATGATTAAATTACACATTAACTTAAATTATCATCTGGTGCTTCTCTGCCAAGTTTTATGACTTACAATTCTGCCACAAATATCTTGACAATTACTCCTTCATCTAATACTTATTAAGGAATATATTCATTAAGATACTCTGCAAGTCTTAATTTGTCTCCAACCTCTACAAATTACACAGATATCTAAATAGAAATATCAGGTAACTAAGCGCCTTATGCACTTGAAGATTTTCAAACAAATGTGGTCATGTATGCTCATCACATTTACTAGTAGCTCATATATTAATCATATGACAGAGAACTTGATTCTGCATAATTTGAGGCATTTATTTTGGATTCCAGTAATATTACTCTCAATCCTACCCCTACTTGGTTTTCTATTACTTTTTCTAATTAAGACCAAATTTCTTTCAGTGTCATAGATCCTCCATAGCCTTTAACCGGAACCTAAACTTAGTATTACATAAAAATAAACATATGGGATGAATGGAATACTGCTGCAAAGAGACCTTACTTTATCAGTTTAATAGTGAAAGATAACAAAGCTCCTTATCTAACATAAACTGTACCAACAGTGATCCCATCAATCTATATCACATAATATTTCGCATTCAGCTTTCCATATTCATATGTTACAGATAGAGAGAATGATACAGTATCATTTATCTGTACTACTAGCAATACAGGCTTAAGTGCGAATTGGATAACTATGTCTATTGATACTCAGAGTGATATTTCAATAAAAGGGTAAACTCCAAGAAATAATTAGTATGCTGGAACCTATACTTTTACTTGCTAATTAAAAGATCAATATGATGGAGATCCAAATACCTATGTATTCACTTTAGTTGTCCATCCTAAACCATAAGTTCAAATCTTGAAGACACAATAAGATATTTCTTCTTTAGTTCCAAAGAATCAGACTCTAGACTTAACTGGACTCTTTAAGGATCCATTCAATGAGCCTTTTACTATAAGCATTACAATTAATAGCACATTATATAATCCATCAGTTATTAGCTGGTTGACTTGGAATTCTACTACTCTTTAAATGAATATAACAGGTTATAATAATTCTCAAGGAGGAAATCATTCAATTTCTATAAAATTGGATGATTCAATAACAACTCCAACTGTCATGAATTTCAAAGTGGAAATAATTTAAAACTGGCCTTTGAGAGTGCTAAATCCTCTAAAAGATTTAATGACACAAGCGAATTCTCAGTTTATAAAATCAATCAATATTACTAACTTATTTTACGATCCAGAGGGGCTTGATTTTACTTATTATGTCTAAGAAGCTGAAACAGTAAAGTAAATGCCATACTTTGTTTACAATAATTTTCCAAATGGCTCATTTGCAGGATATGCTAGTGATGCAAACCTTGGATCCTATAATCTTGAATGTGTAGGAGTTGACAATGCTAACTAGTCTACAGTTTTCAAATTTAAATTCATTGTCAGGCGTAAGTATTCTTAGTTTTTAATATTCTATTTTAGCTTGTTATTTTAAATGTTAAGCTTGTTGGGACATTGACTATAATGCTTGCACAGAATGCAAATAAGGATTCTATTTCTATTTCAATGAATGCTTAGATGAGTGCTTCCCCGGTACATATCCTGATGATGTTGAAAAAATATGTAAAAAATGTCCAAGTGAATGCTAGTTATGTACCGGACCAGACAGAAAATCTGAATGTTAGAGATGCAAAGCAGGATATTTTTTATACAATAATGGATGCTGGAAAACATGCCCAGATGGATTTTACGGAGATAAATATGAAGGAGTATGCAAAAGTAAGCATTTTTCCTACCATTAATTTTTTATTTAGAATGTCATTCATTCTGCTCTACATGTTTTGGCCCTAAATCTTCAGAATGTTATAGCTGCAATAAAATTTTTGGATTTAATGAAAAAAATGACAATAAAATATTTGGGTATCTTCTTATTGGAACAGAATGTAAAGTGCCTAAATGTAAAGACAAGCAATACTTTGATTGGTTTTCTTACCTGGTAAATGGTTTATATAGTGGTCAATGCTTTGATTGCCACTTTACTTGTAAAAAATGTGTGGGTCCTAGCTCCAATGATTGCCTACAATGCATTTTGGGATATGAATTTGATGAGTAGAATTTCTTTTGTACAAAATGTGAAGATATCTATGGCTATGAAACTAATCTTGAAGGAGAATGTGAGGATATATGTGGTGATGGTATAATCGTAGAAAAATAGTGTGACGACGGTAACAAAATATCTGGTGATGGTTGTAATGATCAATGTGAAGTCGAATATGGTTATGAATGCCTTGTTCCTAACAAACCTTGCTGAGAAAATATCAGACCTGATTTCTAGATAATTTCAGTTAATGGAATCAATCAGGTCTTTTTAGAATTTACAGAGGAAATATACATTGAAAATTCAACATCAATAAGTCCTGAAAATATGATTGTCTCTATTTCAGGAAATCTGATGGAATACATTTTTTCCTGGAGAATTGTAGTTGAGCCTAACAATCCAATAATACCTAATAGACTGATAAAGCGATTCGCAATTATACTATTTGACTTTAAATAGTCTTTATTAGGCTCTGAAACTTTAAGCATAAAATTCCTCAATGAAACTTAAATCATAGATCCGAATGGGAACATCTTGATTAATGATAAGTAAAAGATAACAAATCCTAGTCAGTTTATTTATTTAACTCCAACAGAAAGAAAAGTTTCTAAACAGGGAGGACAGACTGTAAAGGTCTCATTCCTTTCTGTCTGTAGCTTTAATATAGCTTTTAAATTACTAATGAATTCATCCATGCAATATCTTTGGGGATTAGTACATGCCTTGCAAGTTTTTAACTTCTTGCTTTACATCAATATTGATTTTCCTGAAAATGTAGAGTTATTTTCAGAATACTTATCAGTGGCATCAGGTGATATGGAGGAATTCAACACTTTTATTCCAAACATTGCTGACATTATTATCTCTCAAGATGAACTTCATGACCCTAGAGATTTAGCCATTCTTGATGAAAAGTTTTAAGATAGCGAGATTTCTCCTTATTTTATTATTGCTTTTGGATAAAAATTGACACTATGGTGTGTTGGGCTTCTGCTGATTTTGCCATTAGCTTTGCTCTTTCATAAGATGTTTAAAAATGTGAAATTTTGGGAAGATATAGTCGCAGCCTTCTTCTTTAATGTTCCTTTGAGAACTTTTGTTGAGATGTATATAGAACTGATTTTATAAGTTCTTATCAACAGTAAGTTCATTAAGATTAGAAATTATAGTTAAACAGTATCGACTTTGTGTGCTTTTGTATTCGGAACCTTATCTCTGCTTTTGCCATTTTTAGCTATGACCATGATTTATAGAAATAGAAAAATGATCAAGCAAAATTCTTGGAATGATAGATTCGGCATGCTCACTGAAGAAATTAGAAAACGGAATATAATTTAGTTATACTACTATCCAATAATGATGTATCAAAGGCTCCTGATATCCGGTATAATTGTTTATTTCTCACATGACCCTGGCTTGCAATGCGGATTGGTTCTTTCAATTAATCTAGTGATGATCATTTATCTAATCATATACAAGCCATTTAAAAAAGAAAGCTAATAGGCAGCATGTGTAATTGATGAACTTATCATAATGCTTTGTGTTTTCGCTTTCCTCTATATCTACAGATCAGAACAAGGACCAGCTTAGTAGAAGGGCACTGGTTGGTTCATAATAATGCTTATTCTAATCAGTGTTATCAAAAATCTATGCATTGTCATCTACTTTGGAATAATTGTAGCCTAAAATAAATATACAAAAATGTTTAATGCTGATGATGAGATTCTTGATTCTCCTGCATCTAGTATTAATACAGATGAAAGTCATATTGAGGAGATAGAAACTGAAGATATTCATAAGGAAATAATAAAAGATCTCACGAGAGAAATTTCATCCAGATCAACACAACAATTAAGTCCTTTCACAAAGTTTTAGAGCAATTTAAATTCCATTTTTGAGACAGAGCAATAAAACAAATTAAGAAATTAGCCAATTATCTCAAATATTAGCAAAGGTTGGAATAGTTCATAATAATTGATTTATAATGAAAAGAAGTCCTCATAAAATTGAAAATAATGTAGAGATACAATATGGACTCATATTATATTATTTAAAGATTTATAAATTGATTTAAGAATGATTTATCAAATTTCATACAATCTACATATAGGGGTTTTGGGGTTTTGGGGTTTTGGGG